TAATAACAAAATAGGATAATAGATTAACCAAGATTTAGCAAAAACGGTATTTTGGCTCTCCTGAAATTTGAAAGCTGTTGTAAAATAGCTGTAAAATGGCTCTTATAACAACTTACCTCAATAAAATGACTCTAATAACCCTAGCTCTTCTTAATGTTTTTTTTTCATTTTAGCTTTTTGCATTTAAATTAAAGATGAAACATTTGTTGATTTCATACTATCCATTATCCTTTTATTTCTATTCAAATATGTCATACGTTGATTATTTTAATTATACTGTTTAATATCGCCTATGCAATAGTCCAAAAGTAAAAAAAGTAATAGGAACCCATGCAAATACTTGTAAAAAATGGGAGGTTGTCTTAAACTTGAAGAAACAAATCAATTTTCAATAATATAATATAAAAAATCTATGTTTACAAAATGTGGTTTTAAACTTCAAGAACTTATTATGTCATTGTTGTTGCTACATTTTCCACAAGAAATCGAAATCTTAGAAGTAACATACCGGGCAATTTTACCTCCGGGCCGGGAGTCTTTTGTCAAGTCTTCTTGTTGGGGTTTAAGTTTGCTGGATCGTGTGGGGGTTGCGTTGCCATTGAAAACCCCGCCTTTCCTGGTTGATCCTTGTTTTATCAATTTTTTTATTAATAAACTCATCAAACATAAAGAATTGCAAGTAAAAGGGACTATAAAGGGAAGGGTTGCACTGTAACCATGTTAGTTGCCCATGATAAATAAGAATAAACAACATGTTAACAAATCATATGCCTCACTGACTATTGTATTTAGGATCATTTCAATCAATTGATTCCTATTTTCACAAATTGTTAGAACAATCAAAGCGCTCTATTATTTATAAGCTATTCAAATAATAAAAAAATTATGACAGGAACACGCTCAAAATTTCTATTTTTGACAACATTGTAAAAAATTAATTGTTTCAATGATGCATATTAATTTTAGATTGATTCGTGACCTTAGTGCAAGGACTTAACCCGTTACTGCACTAATGTGACAGATTGTCCTAGAAACAAGCAAAACAATTATAAACAATCTAGCGTAGAAAAGTTTGTTTTTTCATGAAGTCAATATGATACTTAAGGTTATACACCTCTAATGCACTATCTCCACTTTTGGAAGAGTATTCAAGAAGGCTAGAATCACTGCCAAGTGTATTGAAACTGAGGGGCGTGGGTTCAAACCAAGAGTAGGCAACTGTTTTTCTTTTTAACATTTTTTATGAATCACTCAGATCCCAAATGGAAGAAAAAGTGTTTAATTTTAAATATATAATTATTGTAGGTATTTATTCGCTAAATAATGCCAAATTTATTAGCAAATACATGTAATTTAATGATACCAGATATTTTCAAAGATTTATAAAATAAAAAATACACAGTAAAAGTATTTTTTATTTTGCAAAACCAGCCAATATACAGTTAAGAAAATTTAGGTAAACTTTGAAACCAGCCCCTCATTGTGGATATTTTAGATAACGCTTTTTTCCATAGGGAAATGGTCAAATAAGTGTTTTAAAGTTGGTGGGGTAAGGTTACATTTTTATGAAATTCAATATTAAAAACATTTCGTTTAGAAACAATCGTTTTGCTTGTTTAATTTGTTACCTGAATGTCATTATTTGTTTCTTAACAATGAGCAATATAAAAATATATTTCATAATGATGATATAATAGACTCTTTAGGGTTTCTTCATTTCTGAAAAAAAAGACCTTCTAATGGCAAAATTTCAGTTCAGAAAAGTGTCCATAACTCATAAACCACACGGTAAATTTTGTTTAAATTTTGCATACAGGTTATATTTAAGGCATATAACTGTCCTATGTTGTCAATTTTACAGTTCCTTATTTAGTGCTTAACTGAACATTAAAAGTTGTTTTGTTTGCTACATCAAATATAACAAGAAAATTTTTACAAAAATTCGTATACTAATACAAAAATTCCTATACAAAAAAGCATTATAATTTGTTATCAATTGATCCAATAAAACCCCGAAGATACGGTTTTGTAAATATTAAGTATAGGTTAGAGTGCATATTAGGTGTTCTTCGTAAATAAGAAAGCTAAAAGGGAGCGGAGCTTGCGAAGCGACTGTAGCTTTCTTATTTACGAAGAACATCCAATATGCACTCTTACCGGCTTAGTGCTCCGCCCAATTTTTTCCGCCCAACACACTGCGTGACGTCACACGATAGCCTAAATGTGTATATTATAAACCATGTTTGGACGACGGTAGCGGTACACATTTTCGGGATAGCTAATTCCCCCATTCTGTCTAGGTAAATAAGACAATATGGAGGCGAAAAATGATAGCGGTGATTTCGATCTCCTCGGTCAATTCTTCAATGAAGATTTCGAAATTTTATCAATTGTGAAACATTGGAAGGAAAACAAAACAATTATTTATCTTACTGATAATTATATAAATAAATGAGCCAAATTTGCGAGTTCCTGCATGATTCATAGCATTTGATAAGGTCAAAATGTAATATAAGTAAATGTGTACACTGATGTATAAAGTAATAAAATAGACTTGAAGTTACTTCTTAGGGTTTTATAAGTAATAAAACTGTTATTTTGCCTGTTTTCATTTCAATGAACCTCTTTTTTTAATTCTATGCCGTAGTGACGATATACATGTGCGTGTACGGAAAAAGCATGATGCATAAATATTGATTAGTATGAGGAGTAAACTTCAATATCTCTGCACATGCGTATATTGCACTTTAGCGCTCTTCGAAACTTAGCTCCGCCCACTTGCCTTTTATAATATAAAACGTCCAGTTGATATAAATTCTGTTCTATGCATAGGTTAGAGTGCATATTGGGTGTTCTTCGTAAATAAGAAAGCTAAAAAGGAGCGGAGCTTGCGAAGCGACTGTAGCTTTCTTATTTACGAAGAACATCCAATATGCACTCTAACCGGCTTAGTGCTCCGCCCACTTGCGTTTTATAATATAAAACGTCCAGTTTTATATAAAATCTGTTCTATTAAGATTTGTAACCTGAAAATTTGAAAAATCCTCGTCGGTGATTGGCTAAAAAAAAATTGGCGAGGACTAAAGCCGGTTAGAGTGCATATTGGATGTTCTTCGTAAATAAGAAAGCTACAGTCGCTTCGCAAGCTCCGCTCCTTTTTAGCTTTCTTATTTACGAAGAACACCCAATATGCACACTTACCTATACATAAATGTAAAAAGGTATTTCCTATCCTATACTTCGCGCCCAGGTTAGCTATATTTATAATTCCCGCGCCAAGTCGCGGTTGTGCTTGGATAATCACGTGATAGTGTAGGCAGCCATCCTATGATATGAAAATGCCTGGCCCTACTCGGACAGATTTTTCTGCCGAAAATATAGTATAAAACTAACACTTGCAACTCAAAGTTTGCTTGCTACATAAAGAATATCGATTCACTAATAGAAAACTTTTTTTCTGCCCGACTATGTTGATGATTTTCATTGGCTGAAACCAACACGTGATCAATGCACATGAAGGTGTGAACTGATTTCATCTGAATTAGAATTATGCCTTTAATCGGACATATAACAATTTTAAATACAAATAATTTTATTAATTAATCACAGAAGCATTTAAGATAATATAATCATTGCAAGGTAATAAATGCACACAAATTATAAATTTGTCTACGACAACTAACCCCCTAAACAAAAACATAATAGCCTCAACCAAAACAAGCGTCTGCCTTCTTTATCTAATTCATGTAGTTTGCATGACCATGATTTGTAAAAGCCAAATTTTAACGACTAAACCTATGTAGAAATAATACTATGACCACAAGCAGATTTCGTAGCAGAAAAAAAATCATGAAAAAAAATATTATTTAAGATTTTTCACCTAATTCAGATCACTTTCCCATTAGATTAAAGATTGTAAGGTATAATGCATAACTTAGTTCCCATCCTAATATTATTTTACTAAAGGATAAATATTTTTGTCACCAATGACAATAAAAATGAATAAACAAGGAAAGGCCGGCGTTCAACGAACGCAACCCCCCTCACGATCAGCAATAAAAAAGAGCCAGTGGCAACTAGAGAAGAAGTTGTAAGGTATATGCATAACTAAGTTCTTTCTAAACTCTTTAATATATCAGCCTTTTTATAAAAAAACAAGAAATGGACGTGACATATATATATAAGTGTCAAAAGAGTTGCTCGAGTGTCCTAATTTATTGCTTTATTTATTCTTTTGCAACCACGTTTTTCTAACCGGAAAATAAACGTAGGTCTAACACCACTAAAAAAACTTCTGTTACCATGGCTACTTCGATTGTACAACTATAGTAATATATGAGCCGCGTCACGACAAAACCAACGTAATGCGTTTGCGACCAGCATGTATCCAGACCAGCATGCGCATCCGCGCAGTCTCATCAGGATCCATGCTGTTCGCTATCAGTTTTTCTACTTGTTATAGGGTTTGTAAGCGAACAGCATGGATCCTGATCAGACTGTGCGGATGCGCAGGCTGGTCTGGATCCATGCTTATCGCAAAACCATTATGTTGGTTTTGTCGTGACACGGCTCATATATATTATGTGTGACTCATTATATATGTTCCAACTATCACACTCGGATAAAGCTTCGTTCTGTTTCCTTCTTTTATATTTGGTTTATTGATGAAGTAAAAAAATATATAATATTTAGGAGAAAAAAATCGAAAAATTGATTCCTATTCAAATCTAACTTACATGCAAAAATTTGTCTTACATCTGTTGGTAACCAAGACAGCTTTTTCTACATGTATTTTGTTGTAAATGTGGTTTTGTAGAACTAATCCTATTAAATACAAGTAAATTGATCTTTTGATAGATTATCAATATAGCCAACATACTATTATTCTTTTATGTTCTTCTCATTTCAATAGCACTGCAAATTATTCATAATTATTTTTTGCATGCATGTTTTGTTATTTCGAAATTGTTTAAGCGAGTTCAGTTTGCAATTTGCTGTCAATTGGCTAGGATAAAATTGAAAAGTAATTTATTTGGTGCGACAAAATGGTTGCTGTATTTCTCAACAGAAAATTTCATTTTTATTTTTCTTGCGATTTATTTTTGTTGTTCAAAGGCACAAATTTTGGAAAAGGAATGTACTAAATTTGAATCTAAATTAGATAGAGTGTCTTATATCCCACAAACAGATGCGAAATTAATTGTACTTCATGGTAAATCAAAGGTGTCTTGCATTTATCAATGTCAAAGTCTTGAAATGCCATCATGGTACTTCGTTGAAAATAATTCTACATGTTATTGTAGTTCTGATGATTCTTACAACATTGACAAACATGATGATGCTAACGCAACTATTATCCGCGGAATAAGAAAAAGGGTGCCAATAAAGTGCATTCAAGTAAGCATTATAAAAATAATTATTTGCTATATATTTTTTGTGTTAATTATCTAGCATCTTTTTTCTGAACTTTTCTTAAAGATTTGTAGCTGTCAATTTTAGTACTTTTGAAACAATTATTATTATTTATTAATCATAAAAATATATATTATAAACTAAATCGCCTAACGTTATCTATATCAAAGACTCTGCCAATTTGGAGGAGCTCATTTTTAATAGTTTAAAATATTACATGTATTTGTATTTAACGTTTAAGATATCTAATGATCTCTTATAATCTCATAATATATAATATACATTTTTATTTTGAAAATGATCAGTTGACATGTGTTTAACACACATAGTGATTTATACAGATTAAAAAAATCAACAAAATGTTTAATTTTCAAGGAAGCGTTTATTATCATGTTTTACAGGAAGGCAGTCAAAAAGTAAAAAGAGTTCACAAGCAACCCGAGCCAGTTGACTGTCTTGCGTTTTTTCAACAAGGCTATACCGAAGACGGTGTTTATGTGATCAAACCAACTGGAAGTACTGCTACTGATGTATGGTGTGATATGACCAATGGTGGATGGACGGTTATTCAACGCCGACAAGACGGATCAGAAGATTTCTACAGAAACTGGGAAGACTACAAGAATGGATTTCGGGAACAGGAGTAGCGAGTATTGGCTCGGACTTGAACAGATATACTATTTGACGATTGCCGACAGTTCACTCTATGTATGCTTGGAAACGTTTGAAATTGACAATCGTAATCCGGTTTCTGCCTATGCTGAATATTCCACCTTCAGTAATTAAGGATGAGAGTGATAAATACAGAATTGTCGGTTGGAGGATATGGCGGCTCGTGTGGCGATTCCATGTTGTTTCATAACAATAGTCAATTCACAACAAAAGACAGTGATAATGACCAACGCGCCTACGCTAATTGTGCAGTGCAGTTTAGCGGAGCTTGGTGGTACAATGATTGTTATTATAGTAATCTAAATGGATTGTACCCACACACCAATGGTTTAGAGACAAATATGGGCATAACTTGGACAAAATGCTGGGTTCATTACTCGCTCAAGAAATCTGTAATGAAGATAAGGAGAAACAATTGAATTTCTTTCAAATTTCAAGTTTATTGACAAATCGACAATGAGCATGGTTTTTGGCCGACTACATGGCAAAGACATTTAACATCAATATACCTATAAACATGTTTACATTTTTAAACTGATACAATCAAACAAATGTATAGATAATAACAAGTTAATAAGCAACAATTTTATACTTCAGAGATAAGGATTTAATTACTCGTTAAGAGCCTGTGATGAGTTCCAAATAATTGTTTCGACATTTCATCGACAAATCTATATATTACTCTATTTTAAAAAGTGTAAATTTTACTTTTTGTTGACATAAGTAATATTTTGATGAGATAATTTACATAATTTATTCAGTCTATAAATCCAATTCAATCTTCCTTTTTCAATTTCCAAAATTATGCGAAAAGATTTAATAAATCTTCAAATTCAAAAAAAATGTTTAAACTGACAATAGTAGTGTAATTTCGGTGAAAAATTAACTGTATGATTCCAATCCTGAATTAACTGGCCTCGGGTCCTATTTTTTAACAAACTTAAATAATTTGCATTACAGTCATAGCGAATACTTGTAAGACTTAAATGATCAATAATTGAATGGAGTTTAGAAGCCCAACAATTTGTGATAGGTCTTTATATAGCATGTACATAGGGAGTTTTCAACTTTTATAGACGTTTCTTTACAAATAACTGATGACGGGAGTCTACCAAGTATACCATGAACGTCAGATGTTGGAGTTTTATTGTGTGTGTGTGTGTGTGTGTGTGTGCGTGTGTGCGTGTGTGCGTTGGTGTGTGCGTGCGTGCGTGTGCGTGTGCGGATGTGTTTTCTTTATTTCTTTTTCAGCTCACATGTCACAAAGTGACAAGATGAGCATTTGTGATCACAATCCGTCCGGCGGTCGTCCGTCAGTCCATAAACGTTTACTTTAAACGATATCAGCTCAAACACCTCTTAGCCGGTTTAATCCAACTTCACACGGATGTTCAGTTGGTGGTAAACTTTAAAAAATGTTCAAAGCAGAACTCTGGTTGCCATGCAACTGAGAGAAAAAAACTTTAAAAAAAAATTCTTTAAAAAAGCCAAAGAGCGAGAGCTTAGATATTTGGCATGAAACATCTTCTTATAGGTATCTACCAAGTTTATTCAAATAGAACCCTGGGTCAAAAATTTGAGTCATTGATTTTCCTTATATGTATTTAGTAAAAAACTTTCAAAATCTTCTTTTAAAAAAAACGAAATAGCTAAAGCTTAGATATAAAGCATGAAACGTATTCTAGTGAGTGGCTACCAAGTTTGTTCAAATAAAAGTCCTTTGATCATTTATTTTCGTTATATGTATATAGTAAAAAATTTAAAAAAAAATCTTTTGCAAAAACCCCAAAGAGCTAGAGTTAGATATTAAGCATAAAAAATCTTCTTATGGGTGTCTACCAACTTTACTCAAATAAAAGCCCTTGGATCAAAATTGGCCCTGCCCAAGGGGGTATTGATTTTCCTTATATGTATATTTTAAACACTTTTTTAAAATGTCTTTTTAAAAAGCCAAAGAGCTAGACCTTAGATATTTGGCATGAAACATCTCCTAATGGCCATTGGGTGTCTCCCAAGTTTATTCAACTAAAACCTCTGGGGTAAAAATTGGCCCGCCCCGGTATATGTACACATCTCTTGGGGTTTCTCTTAGCAGTAGCAACTAGAAATATTTATAAACATGCACTTTTTCAGATACAAATATTAACTTTGAGATATCAGTTTAAGAGTTAAATTTTATATCTGCTTTTTTATAGTTTACAATATTACTTGTACGTTGTCATGGAGAGTTCAGGTGAGCGATTTTTAAGGCCATCACGGCTCTATTGTTTATATTTCCATACTTCTTCTTTCACGTATACATGTATGTCAATAACTTATGTGTGAGGGATATCTGTAACTTGTCAAATCAATAAATAAATTGCTGTTGTTGTTGTTGTTTTTGTTTTTTGTTGTGAAAAATGATGAAAATAACATGTACAAATACCATTCTCTGTCTATTAAACAAATGTTTTGCTGGCAACTTGTTAATTTGTTATAACATAAGTAAAACTATAAAACTAAATATTCCATTTAAGAATGTAGTACATTTATTTTCAAACAGTATAAATATAATTAAGGGTTAACAAATATAAAAAAAAAACATACAAAAGTACAGCAATAAAAGGCAAACTATTAGTGGTGATTATACAAGGCACTAAAATTAAAATTTAATTATCAATTAACTTCGCAAGCGTAACCTTTTATTCCTTTCTATAAATATACTATTTACATTTTTATGGTAGGTTTTAACGTCCCACCTACACAGTATAATTCATATGGTGACTTTACAGCTTTACTGGTGGAGGAAGACCTTAGGTGCCCTTCTGTGCACTATTGCAGGTACAAAAACATGTACCTGAGTAGAACAATCTTCCGTAAGTTAGCTAGATAGTTTCCTCATATGAAAGTCCCCGGTGATTTTACAAACCCCAAGCGGTGAGGGGCAAGTGGTTTGAAGACAACGACCTTAACCACTCGGCCACGGACGCCCCACCACTTAAAATCAAACAACAATTAGATAATTAGTAGAAATATATTTACAAATCGATATCTGTCGGACAACAACAAGCTTTGACTTGATATTATTGTTTTAAATGTAATCAAGCTTTAAAACACGATATAAAATATTCAACGGTAGAATGATATTTGATCACTTCGGAAAAGATTCTTCTATACATCTTTTGCAAAATGCAAAATGAACAAATCAAATCAAATCAGCTTAAATGAATTAATTGGTCCCGGTACATTTATGGATAATAAAGTTCTAGAATTAGATTAAAGACGGCTATTCATTGGGATATTTTTTCTCAGTTTGGAAGTTTTAAGCAAGCTTAAAGAAAGTGAAAATCTTCTTCAACAATTCTAACATTACAAAAAAGCATGTAGCTTAGTACATGTATAGCATAAATAAAAATCCTACAACATTTAAACCATGAAATGAAATGCACTGTTTGCTAGTCAGTCAGTATATGTGTTGAATTTTCCCTAAAAACAAATGATATATGGTTTGTCCAGCTTGAAAAAAACAACAGGTCTATTTAAGATATTTAGCGTGGTTATATGTTCTCACCGCCGATCAGATCAACTCGATCGTCCCGATCACATTAATGCCCCGATGAAGCCCGACCAAGCTGGATCAAATGCAAATTCACGACTCCTACACGACCTCAAGTCTACCATGTTTACGACTTCTTCTCGACGACAACCCGACCAACATCCCGACTTCTTCTCGATCACCAAGACCTATACGCGAGTCATACACGATCTCAACTAGACTAACTGGACCTCTGCTCGATCGTTGCCAGATTTCTACCTGGTAAGACATGTAAATCCGATGTATACCCGACAAAACTAGATCGTTACACGATTTATTCTCGATCAACTAGATCTTCTACTCGATCACTATACGATCGCTTCTCGACGTCTTATCTACTCGATCGCTACTCGAATTTTTTTGACATGTCAAAAAGATTCGGGTAGGAAGCCAGAGCCATATCGACCAAGGTAGACCGCTCCGACCAACCCCGATCACGCATGCAGACCGAGCTAGACCGGTACCCGATCGCTTGATCGTGCTTGATCGAGTTGATCTGATCGGCGGTGAGAACACAGCATATTATGGTTAACAGTGGCAAGATAAGCGGAAAGGATAAATTGTAACATGGTGAAACGAAAAAAAATGTTGAAAACTTTATAAAGAAAAGTTATTGTGACTGGTGAACACGTGTTCAGTATTAATGCAAATTTTACATATATTCTAGATCGTTTATTTAGTCTGGTAGTCAAAATTGAACTAACCATGCGTACGTTGAAATAAGATGAAATATTCATATACTTTCTTCGAAATGCAGCAATATATGCTCATCTCTCAAATACTTTAACACTTAGAATTACACCACGTGATAGGTATTAATATTACTCTTGCTATAATATATATAAAACAGTGTTTTGCATTGCGTAAGTTGTGATATAAGATAGAGTTCTCTATCCTTGTTTCAAAGTAGTTTCTATAGTTTAGTATTTTTGCGTTGAATCAAGCCGTGATTATATTGAGCTATATCCCGTCGGGCCCCGTTTCGCTTTTCCTACAAGAGCTGCAGACAACAATGCCAACACGGCAGATACTATTGCCAGTATGAAGCATACACTGAATGATGAACTATCCTCTTTTGTTTCAGATCCAAACACTATCACAGCAATGGTTAGAACAATACCTTAAATAAAAAAAACACCATGCATTTCTCTTATTTTAGTTTAAAGCGGCCTTCAAATTTAAAATTTGCCGTCATTAATTAAAATACAAAAACAATAAGGTAACCCTTAGATACCTCTAATCCACCGGTCCGCTCTCTATAAAATAAGTAAGATCCGATCTATTTTTAGAAACAAACGTCACTGTTGCGTTATGAATAGCTCAAGAAAGCTACTTTAACCCTTTCACTGCCATATGGACGGCTTAAGCCGTCCCTGTTTTTTTTTCGGCGTATTTGCCATATGGACGGCTTTAGCCGTTTCTATAATAATAATAATAATAATAATAAATTAATAATATTAATAATAAAAATAATTAATAAATATAATGAAAATTATACCATCGACAATAATTATTATCATACTAACAATTTTGAAAACACATATAATTATTATAATACTAATAACAAATAATAATAATTATATTAATTAATAATAATTTCTTAGAAAATCCTCTGGCAAATAGGTGAACAATAAAACAATAACCCTCTGGCAGCGAAAATGTTAAACATATTGCGTCATTTTAGTTTAATTTGGAAAGAAAGTTTTGTAACTTTTAGACCTACATTTTGTATCACTTGTTTTCGTGTTTAACCACCTCCTTACTAAACTCTGTTAAAGATGTCAGCAGTTTAAAAGCTAGGCTATTGTTCTATTTATGTATTATTTAAATTCATTAATTGAATTAATCAATTCAGTATTTCCATTTCTTTGAAAGATTTTTAAACGTCTTTAAACGATTAATCAAATTAAAGGTTAAACAACAGAGAATTACAATGAAAAAAATGCATTATATTTATCTGCTTTCTTCAAATTCTTACATTTTTTAAAGAGATAATACAAATTTTTGCCTTGCTTACTAATACAATCGTTTTCATGACCGTCCATAATATTACTTAATAAGAGAGTCCGTAATATATAATTAGACAGACAGAAATGTACAAACCTCCAAATAAAGCCATGAATATCGTGCCTTGTGCGCTGTTCTGTGTGTTGAACTTGCAGTACAATAGGCCAAGAATTGTACTGAATGTTAAGCAGGCATTTCCGATGATCATTAACGCTTTAACAGCTTTCCACCAGCTTGTCTCTGTTATAAAAGAAATATAAGCTGTGTACTAAAAAAACTAAGACATTATGCATCCACCGTTTATCCCTGTGTCGTCATAAGAAGCGACTAAATGGTTTCGAATTACTGGAGTCAATGCATCTCAAGACCTTAGCTCCAGCAGGTGACGTGGTTTTGACCCATCGTGTTGCTTTAAAGCTTGTAACACTCGAGGTTAGCCAAAATCACCTTTCCTGATTCGGCGCCATAATTATGACCTAAATTACGTTGGTACGCCATAAAACCAAACAAAAATAAACAAAATTTATGCAAAATTACATTTCGCATCGTATATGTAACTTAATTCTAAAAATATCATTTACAAGTCGTCAGTCGTGGATGTTACTGAAGTCTAAATTGATCAATTTTCATACATAAATGTTGTCCTAAAATATAAATGCCTAAGCCGGTGCTATAGGGCATGGGGTAGCGGCTGTAGGCTGTAGCCTGCATTTACTACTACCATCCATGTACAGGTAATGGATGGATTAGATGATAGACAAGATTTTGAAATTAAGCAAATATACTCATATAATGATTCAATGACAGGTAGTACAATGAAAAACTTCCGTAAATAATAAGCAACATAAACCTTGTGTTTACTAAATAAATGGTGTACGTTTATCACAGGGTTAAGCTCACTACAGTGTTGGAGCAGTACCTATAGACGCTTGCAGAAATCATGATCACTTAGTAGAAAACTATTTTTCAATAACACGTATTAAAGGATATAAATCTATATCTTATGAAATATTTTTATAAAATTTATCAACAGTAAAATTATATCGGTTCAATTGTTATATGGCTGATTCCCGGAAAAAAAAGTTGTAACATAGAATGGCTCTGTTATTTAATACACATGAAAAATGAACTTAAACAGAATAAAATGTTCCGGAACAAAATATTATTTTGCTATTTTAACTAGGGTTTTATCCGTTTAGCAATGATTTTGCGCATTCGCCATTCGCTTTAAGGCAATTTATTGAATTTTTATTTCATACAAACATTTAGGAAGAATTCTTTTTTAAAATCTACATAATATTTTTTGATATATAGCTTATACACTTTAATAAAGTTCATTTCGTTTGGTGCAAGATTTAATTATTCAACAGCGCATTATCCGGTATATACCGGAATACGTTATTTAGTGTTGTGGTCCCACACTTATTTTTAGTCTCACTCTTAATAATACACATTTTATTTCAACTGGTGAAATAATTATGTTTCAAATTCAGCGAAGCTTCACGTGTTATGTCACATGGTAGAGAAATTAGCTTTATATGCATTTAAATGAAATTTAGCTGTACGACAATTTCATACAAATGTAAACACACGATTAAAGATAATTTTGAGGGTTACATGAAAGGAAATAAAAACACTTATAATGATAATACATTTAAAACTGAGATAAGACATCTAATCTAGAGTCAAGAAGTTAAGAGATAAGGAAATATAACTTTATTAACATTTGAATATACATGTATATCGAATTTTTTTTAAAGTTTATTTCAAAGTGACTGTATATGCTCATTTTTTTCGTTGTCAAATTTAGTTAAATTAGTAATATATTTTTTAAAAAAATCTGATTATTATGTTGATTGGCCAATAAAATATAATGAAAATTGTTTATGATACAATGTAAAAATTACCTTAATTATAAAAAGACTGCCCTACTTTTTTTTAACAATGAGCGTTAGCGATTCTAAACGCTATTTATAAACCTTTCCGTTGGTATATGTGTTCGTTGTAAAATATTAAATCGAACACAATTATGGCAAAACATCAAACTGTTTTTATTTTTACCATGTACATTTAGATGTGAATAATGTTACTTTAAACGTATCTAAATTCTATTGTCAACCACAGCTCAAATACAGGGGGAGCGTTTGTCTTACAGTGGTTAAATCTTCTACAGCTCAGCCAAGCGATTTGGGTTCGAGCCATATATCAGGTAACGACCATAATTATATCTTTTATACAACACCAGCACTGGCTAGTTCTAAGCAAACTCAAAATAATTAAAATAGTTTATATCTATCTCTTTAATCGGGATTAAAAAATAATAATGAAACATTAATATTCTGCATTTCTTAAATGTTCTTGTCCATCTGTAATAGTTGCATTATAAGAACTTACAATTATCAATTTTGGGGGATATCTTTATTATGAAAAAAATTAATGAGTCGGCCAATAGTATAGAGCCTGGTCAGATTGCACGGAAGTGCAGACTAGTCTGGTTTCTATATTCGTGGATAAACCAGCGGGATCATGGTTGAACTAAAGAAACACATCATTATAATATTTGAGCCGTGTCACGACAAAACCAGCATAATGGGTTTGCGACCAGCTTTGATCCAGACCAGCCTGCGCATCCGCCCAGTCTGATCAGGATACATGCTGTTCGCTATCAGTTTCTCTACTTGTAATAGAGTTGATAAGCGCTCATTTCTAGATACCTATTCCCGTATCTCCACATTTCGTTCCGCTAGCAAATGACGTTTTATATTTCAAACATGTCTGCCAGAGGCCAATATTTAGGGTGCCCTCCTGTCCAAGGACACTACCATGCACGTGAAGCCAATACGGAATCGCCGTGCTTATTATACTGAGAATAGCAGCAAACAAACACATGAGAACGCCGCAAACCAACAGTTTACTCATGTTTACCTGTAAAGGAAATTATTATACTTTATCTATTTGTAACGAATATGACTATTTATCGATATATGCACAGTCAAATTTGGGTTAAAAGTCACCTCTGAATAACGATAACTCTGCAAATAAAGGCTACTTTTTGGTAACTATTCATCGATAAAAGTGGCCTTTGTTCACAGGTGTCACTGTATGTATATTCATGTTTACCTGTACACATGTACAGTTTTAAACTTCAGTTATAATCAAAGCTACATGACAACATTAAATTCTTAATGTATTTAAATATGAACTGAACTCCGTTGTAAAATGAATTTAATACTAATTAGCAAAAATACTCTGGTAGCACAGATGTTTACTAAAGCAAAATAAACACGTAATATTACAGGGTTAAGATTTTGGTTGCGCTTTATATTATATATGAGCTTTATGTTAAGTATCATCTGATGTTCTGTTTGCTTTAAGTAAAACGTTTAACATATGTACATGAATTTATACCTGTTTACTTTCCAAGGTGTATACAACGGTTTGAACGATGACATACTTTTGTAGTGTACAATTACAATTATTATAATTAGTCAATATATATGATAAGTCAACAATTATTTAACAAACATGTAAAAGAATGTTTTCTATTGCAACTAAACCTGTGATTAAAAGAAAACCAACAGAAAAGAACAAAAGGGGTTCACAAAAATCTTCAACTTTCGTTCTCGTATACATGTAGGTCAAAAAGATCAATTTCAAATGTCAAAGTTAGTTCAAAGTCATAATGAATAAATACATGAAATCTCAGTATCAACTGAAGACAGTTCTGCTTAGCTCTGCTTTATAACGATGAACGAAAAGCTTACCGTTACAGATTTCGCAACACTTCCTTATTGAACGATTTTGGAAAAGGCTAAATATCAGTGAATATAGAAAAAAATCGAATATTTAAACATTAATCTGTTACATTATTAACCTACAAACACATGTCTAGATATTCTTTAATAAATCATAAACAAATTTAACATACCTTAACTTAGTTGTTGATGCTAGGTAATTTAAAATTATCCCGTGACTAATCGAATCACGAGTATACGTCGTTTACATACCTTTCCGTTATGCTCTATTACGTCAATATGTACGACAGGTGTATAAAAGTAAACCAATATCAACTAAAAACCATGACTGTTTCATTAAAAGACGTCTTTTCTCACTTAAAGGCCCATTATGCCTCAGAAGTGCTTTTATCTTTATTTCTCAAAAGCTATTTAATTTTGGTGTACCTTTATAGTATCCAAACATTTACTCATTGGCCAATTACCTGAACCATATTTGGGCTCCTTTAAAATTTCTAGCAATATTAACGTACTGATCAGTTAATTCCTAAAGACATAAGATAAGAGATAAGATAAGATAGTTTATTAAAGTCTCATCATCATGTACAATATTAAAATAATACAAATATAAAACCTACGACATTGTACATAAATGCCACTCATAGATGAGTTATAAGAGACTATACATAACTTTACAACAAATCTAACATACTGGACATATCTTCAAAGTTACTTAAAAATAAAACCAAGTATTTTTTCTTCTTTAAAAAAAAACAAAACAAAAAAAAAACAAACAAAAAAACAAACAAATAAAAATAAAAATAATGTGAAGAGTTGAGACAACCAGACTGTATTTATTTTAGTTGAAATTCTGTGTAGTTTGTGTTGTTATTGCTGGTTGTAAGATTTGAATGTTACAGCAGTGTACAAGTTTACAGTGTTCCGAGAAACGTCCAGATATATGCAGATCCTACACACATCCGAATGTTCATCCAAACACTATACCCTTGATATAATGTGTATGTGTGTTTTACCTAAATAGTAATAATATTGGGTGTAAAGCAATAAACAAGAAAGTGTGATTTATTCATGACTAGACATCGCAGTCCTATAGTATCATAAGACCCATTTGTATGTTAATACAACTGTATCTGTTGCAATGGTTCAATTCAAGAAGCAGCCTCCAACCAAATACTCATGACTAAAATAAAGGCAAAGCTCAATATTGCGCATTAGAGCGATATCCTATATCAATATATAAAAAAAGAAAATACAAAAATCTTAAATAAGGAATTTTTATCACGTCTACTTATTGGAACCTACTTCTTGAATATGTTTCTAAAACCATAAAATCTATCTAAAATGTTACTTACCATTATTTACATATTGGTTAAAACGGTACTCCATAAAAACATATAAAAGAATCATGATTTACAGTACAATTTTCTTTTTCTCTCAAACAGAATATGGTGGCAGGCTTTGGCAGATAAATATACTAGGTTTTTACTACTAAAATTTTAACCATTTTGTCATCATCAGATACAATACTAGTATCTCTATTTCTTAATACATCATCTAACGCAGAGACCAACTCTTTCCTTACATCATTATATAATGGACAGTAAAGTAATACATGTTTCTCATCTTCTGCAGTGTCCGGACAATTAAAACATTTTCTATTTATTACATTAATATTTTCATTACGACCTGTTTCTATTCTTAGTGGTGCTATACCACATCTGAATTTTGTAAAGGCTGATCTATACATAAATGGCAACTTAGACGTAAGGTACTTTTCAGTGCAGAACTGAGATTTAAACTTCCTGTAAGTCCTTAATTTATTCCCGCCATTTCCTCTAATGGCATTTTCTCTCTGAAGTAATAACTTCCATTTATTTGTTGCTATTTCCATAAGTTTAGATTCTAGCATTGATATGGTAGGTTTGGCATTTCCGATATTAGCCTCTAGTATGTGACTACTATTAATATCTTTTAAAAGTTTCTTAAGTCGGTAAAAACCATTCTTGACATTACTTGCTTTAGACCACATAAATACAGATTTATTAATTCTATTATCATCCATATTCATAACTCTAAAATACTGTCTAAATACAGACACCCACTGTCTAACAATTGGTGGTTTCCAACCCATCTCTCCACTTACAGCCACATTCGGGGTGTATCTTCCAACACCCAAGTAGTAACGCATTGCCCTATGATGAACTGCATTAATGCACGAGTAAGATCTATCACCCCAAATCGGGGCACTGTAATTAATTATGGGCCATACCATTGAATCATAAAGTTTTGTAAATGTTGAGTACTGAAAACCACCAAATGCCTTACTTTTGGATATAACAAGACCAAGTGCTCTAGAGGCAGACATTGCAACTGTCTTTGCAATTTCATTATAATCCAAAAATTCATTTAGTACGACACCAAGATACTTATAACTATGAACAATTTCCAGTTTTTCTGAATTGAATTCAAAAACATGTTCAGTTTTAGAAATACTGTCGGCTCTAAAGTGAACAATATTGGATTTATCACAATTGACAGTCATTTTATTTTGACAACACCATAAAGCTAAAGCATCTAACATGGATTGAAGATCTTTGGCCTTTTCTGCCAACAAAACTATGTCATCAGCATATAGCAAAATACATATTTTTCTTTCACCAATATAAACACCTTTGTCTAAATTATTCATATACATTACTAAATCATTAATATACAAGTTAAACAGCATTGGAGACAGGGGGCAGCCTTGTTTCAATCCACATTTTACATCAAACCAAGGTGTATCAAATCCATTTAAGCGTATACAGCACTTAAACATCTTTATATAATGATGAAATTGCCTGAAACAGTCTGCCCCCTATCCCCACCTGCTGGTGCAACTTTTGCCACAGTGATGTACGGTCTATAAGGTCATACGCCTTCCTGAAATCTATAAAAGCAGTAAATGTTTGTAACTTTTTAAGTTTACGTGTTTCAATAATATTTGTTAGGGACTGTACTTGGTCAATTGTACTTTTACCTTTTATAAAACCATTTTGCTCATCACTTATAATATTATTACTAGCTGTCCATTTTACTAATCTATTATTTAAAACAGAGCAGTATATTTTATACATGGATGGAGCCAAAGAAATACCCCTGTATGACAAAGGATCCCGTGGGTCTGTGGTTGAAGACTTGGGAACTGGTGAAATTATACTCTCAGACCATGCAGTAGTAACAGAACCACTTAAAAAACATCTATTAAAAAGACTATGTAGCAAAGCTAACGCAGAATCATTTTTAGTAGTTCACATGGTATATTGTCATAACCCGGTGCTTTACCAGACTTTGCATGTAAAATACATTTCAGTACCTCATCAATAGTTATCATGCTATCAAAGTGTTCATTCTCTATTTCATCAACACTATTAAAATTAAACTGATCTAAGTCAACAGAAGCCTGGTCATTGCCAAAGTCATTTGATGCAGTGTTCTTCGACACATTATGCTTATTTTGCAACTAAATGACCACTCTTCAGTAGGAAATGATGAGGCAAAGTACTACATTAATTAGTGAGAATAAGAAACTGTTCTAAAATCATTAGCAAAATACGATATTATTTTATAATATCTTATAAATTTTTCGACAGTGTATAAATTGCTTTCCTCTAAACCAGATATTTCAAATTATGGTTAATAAAATAAGATATTAATATCTTAAATATATGAGCCGTGTCACGACAAAATCAACATAATGGGTTTGCGACCAGCATGGATCCAGACCAGCCTGCGCATCCGTGCAGTCTGATCAGGATCCATGCTTTTCGCTATTAGTTTCTTTACTTGTTATAGGGTCTTAAGCGAACAGCATGGATTCTGATCAGACTGCGCGGATGCGCAGGCTGGTCTGAATCCATCCCGGTTGCAACCCCATTATGTTGGTTTTGTCGTGACACGGCTCAATTATGTCCTCATTAGTTTAAAATGTCTCATTATTGGAACAAAGCATATTTTTTATGCGTGTAAAAACAACTGTACGTTGTTTGTTTTTTTATTGTATATAATAAAAGTTTTATAAATATCAAATATCATAATTTTCTTTTAATTTGGTTTATGTCTAGCTCACCTGAACACAATTTTATGTGACGTAATATTAGAGGGCGTTATAGAGATCTTAAGGGGAAACAAAATAACAAGTCATCATTATTGTAAACCTAAATGATGGTTATTTATATGTGGAAAGGAAAGTCTGTTTCTTAAATGCTGTAACATGGCCATATTGGTAACATATTCAACATTTTCCACATTGAAAAGGGGGTATATAATTCCATCAAGTTACGCATCCATTGGATCGTGAAGAGAAAGTATTAGGGAGACGAAGATTATGCAAAATCATCAGTTCCAAAGAAATTTCTGAAAATACATCTAAAGCTCCAATTTCAGACAAGGTCACTGAAGATAATTCTTCAAAACAACTTAACAAGCTTTACTTTAACACTCTTCTTGGGTACAATACTTCTCAAGAGAACGATGTAACAAAACCGGACGCTCAGTAATACAGTGATTAGTAAGTATGTTTTCTTATCTCGTGGTATGGCTCCATTGCTGTTCGCTTACCAACCCTATTACAAGTAGAGAAACTGATAACGAACAGCATGGATCCTGATCAGACTGCGCGGATGCGCAGGCTGGTCTGGATCCATGCTGATCGCAAACGCACTGTGTTGGTTTTGTCGTGACGCGGCTCATAATTATATGATTTGGACCTAGAAGAGTGTGCACTCTTCTTACTTATCTCCCAGTTGGAGTAAGTCTGTGGGACTACAGAACTGAAAATTTTCAAGAAGTCATTGATAGTTTTGTCTGAAAATCAACGAATGTATGAAGCATGGAAATCAGTTTTCAAAGTTTTTGTTATATATGTACATATTTGATAAAGCAGTTCCAACATTTGACTTGAACACTGTTACTGGGACATTTTTAGTATGAGTGATGCAAATGAGATGTTGTATAAATTGAAAGAATTAGCATTGAGCAAAGGTCAAGACAAATGGCTTGAAAGCATAATGACTTTACGGGACAGTTTTGTGAGTTTTAGAGCTGAGGTTGATACAAAGTAATCAAAGATTAGTGACTTTTTTCAGGTAAAGAGGTGGTTACCATGAAATGTGTTAAAAGTTAGAAACATAGGATAGTGCTACATTAATCACAATGCCAATGTGTTGAAATGACCAA